AAATTCCGGGTGTAGGCCCGGAAGATTAGGCCGGGGGCAGATGCCCTTAAGCCGTCGGTGCGACCAGGTTTGGCTGACGTCTGCTCTGAAGGGGCCAACGCGAGGATACGAGCGTGTCCGCCTGGGCGTAGAGGACAATTCCTCTCCCGGATGGGCCGGCGGACGGAGGAGGGAGTTGGCGATGGGATACACCTCGACTCCCGAATCTGAAAGCAGGGCCTGCCCCTATCGGTGGGGCATCTGGATGCGACTCCTTGGGCGGGCGGCCCTTGGCGGCACTCGCCTGGGACGGTCGCTATCCCGTCGTTAGGACAGCTTACCTCCACAATGGGAGGCCGGGTAGGATACCCGTTCCGGTGTTATCATTAACACCGAGACGGGTCACCTGGAGTCGGTCCACGTGGACACTCCAGACCTCGGGAAGGAGGGATGGGAGACGAAGGGATGCTCGCATCCTGGAGCCCGACATCCTCAAACAGAGGTCTGCTTTCCCCCTCGTATGAAAACTCGGAAGCAGGGACACGGGTAGGGGCGGTGGATCGACTCCGGACCCACTTACAGAGAGTGGGCCCTAGGAAGTCACACATCGCCACACAGGGGTCTGTCTTCCCCTGTATAAAACTCGAAGTCAGGGACACGGGTAGGGTGGCGGGTGACATAGGGCCGGATGCCGAACGTCACCTCCCACCAAAACAGGGGTCTGCCTCCCCCTGGGATTCGTCCGCCTTGGCCCAAGGGTCGGGACGGGGGAATAAACGGAGAACGGACCGGGGCCAGATGGCTCGCCACACTCGGTGGCAGCGTCTCTGGAGCAAAGGGCGTGGCCTGACCGGTAGACGGGTCGGACTCTTTCCGGCTGGTAGCAGGCTGCCGGGGCGGCCCACCCCTCCGCAATAGTCCTGCCCCCCCTCCTTTCTCGTCGGAGGGCGTGCCCTTCGGGGGACCGGCTGGGGGACCTGGCCTGAACGCCAACACAGGCGTCCGTCCAGTGGGGTTCCGCATCACCCCACTATAAAACAATCGAATGTGGCGCGTGGGGGCGGACTCCCTAGGACAGTGAACTAGGGAGCGCCGCATCAACATATCGGAGGGATACCCCCCAACGACGAGACATAGCAGGGGGTCTAATAGATGGGTCTCCACACTTGGTGGAGATTATCGACCCTTTCTGGGTGCACTCCCTCCTGGTGTGCCACCTTGACGTGGTGAGGGAGCTCCCTGTCCTTATGACCACCTGCTGGCAGTACCGGGGTCCAACTCCGGGAAAGCCCGGGTGGGAGGGGTCAGGGTCTAAGAGCACACCGACTCTGGGTCCGGTCCCCCAGTAGGGTGTCGGATCTCCCTCGGGAGATCCACACCCAATGGGCCCGTAAGGGATGCGGCGACCCTGACTTCAAGCGCCCGGCGGTGCGGCGCCGATAGGGGGAGATCTGCTCCCTGTCCGCAACGACGCGGGTGTTCCTGCAGGCGTGTCGCCGTGTTGCCGGGTGTTCCTGATGGCACGCCTTGACACATGCCGGAGGGACGGTGCTCCGCCCAGGGAAGGGTATTGTCGGGTCGTGGGGCCGCTCGGACGTTTCCAAGGCGGGACCCGTGGCTCGCCAACTCTAAAGGGACGGATCGTGGGGCCGTCTGGACGTATTCCAGGGCACGGTCCGCGATCCGGGTGCCGTCGGAGCCGCTCGGACATATTCCGAGGTCGGGGTCCGGCGGCACGTTGAGTCAAAACGGGGCAGACCGGGCTCTTGAGCCTAGAAAGGCTACCGGTCTAGGGGAAGGTCATCCCGAATAACAAACCACATAATTAATAATTATGGATATGACGACCTACAAGTGCCGATCATTACCGGCCCAGGGTGTTCGGACGCCCAGGGTCCGGCGTGTCTGGGGGGGTACTGTCCCGGCCCCCTCCACGTCGTCATCGTGCGTCGGGCAAAGCACGAGGTTGCCAACGGGCCCCGTTGCGAAATTGGCTACCGTTGATGAAGCTAAGGAGAAGGATAACCACCCTCCTAGGATGGTGGTGGAGACGGGGAAGACCTCAGATCTCCCCGGAAGAGCCGCTACGGCCACAGAGGAGAAAACGCTCCGATTAAGGGGCGGGGGAGATGACCCCCCCTTAACGGCTCCGCAAACATCGCAGGGCGGGACGCCCATGAATGATTTCATGGACGCCTCCCTGGAAGAGCCAATAGCGTCCACGAGCGGCGCCGGTGGCTCCGCTCTGACTAGAGCGGACAGCCTCTTGCAGATCTCAGTGGCGCCAGAAAGGGACGAGGACTGCGTGTCGGTGAAGTCGACCGGCAGTCTCCCGTCCACCATCCTAGGACGAAAAAGAGCGGCTGTCGCTCTATACAAGTGCGACGAAGAGAGACGCGAGTGGTCACTCCAAAGTATCAGGAGAGGTCACCAAACGCGCCAGAGGGCGCCCGGCAAAAGACCCGGCCAACGAGGGCCTCTTTACTAAGGAGGCGAGAGAAGAGAAGCGGAAGAAGGAGGAACAGGCGGAGTACCTGGAGACCCTTAAGGCGATACAGGATGATTCCGTCCTTCCAAGCGAAAATAAACGCACGCGAAAAGCCCAGCTACAGAGGGCAGAAATGGGGGATCGCTACCAGCAGCAGGCAACAGAAGCCACAAAAAGTGCCGCTGAGATAGCGATCAATAAATTAGTGAAGGTGGCTACCGCCTCTAGAAATTTAAAAGGCGGAATGGTGAAAGCCATATGGGAGGCTATCAACAGCTTCGGGGCGATTAATACCGTCCTGTATCGGAGGGCGATGGCCTTGGAGGACAGTACGGCCATAGGCGAAGAACTCAAAGTTCTGAAGGATCAGGTGGAGTTCCTGAAACGGGAAAATCACCAGTTACGAGACTCAATTGGCCGTACTGAGAAAATGACAAGCGAAGAGGCGGGGGAGGGGAAGACAACGAATGCGAATGCGTCGCCCCCCTTGTCCCGTGACAGGCCTCCCCCGCAGGAGGGGGAAGGCGAGAGTCCTATCGGATGATGACGAGGAGATGGGGGAGGCGGGGCGATGCCGATGCCGCCCCCCTCCTCCCTACCTGGGAAAAAGGAAGGGGGACCCACCATTACCAAGATAGAGGTCGTTAATGGTCCCCTTCCACCGTTATACGACCCTCCACTGAGGGACAAGAGAAGGCTGATCCCCGAGGCCCCCATCCAGGCTGGGGCTGGTAGGGGTTCGGCAACGACTCTGGCGGGATTGGCGAGCCCGTCTTTAGACGGGAGGCTGGAGGGGGTTGGAGACAGTTATCACCAGGATCCTCTCCAGACTGGGTGTCCTCCCGACGAAACGCCGGAGGAACAACA